GGGGCGTCCACCGACCCTGGGGGCAGAGCTGAGACTATGTTCTCTGCCATCAAGACGAAGGCGCTGGACCTGCTGCCCTTGAGGCTTCCGCTGGCCCAATAGGCCGTCCAAGACTATCTGCCGGTCATTTTCAATGCCGTTGCCGCCAAGACATAGTCCGGTTTCTCGCTCAAGAAATTGGGCGGTGGAGGGCGGACGGGGTCGCTGATGGGGGAGTCTCTCAAGGGAAGCAATGTGTTTGCAGCGGGGCCTGCTATCGCGGTGAGTTAAGCAGTCTGAAGAATGAACCGGAAAAGGCCGACTTTAACGACAGGTGATCTGATTCGGCTCGCTTCAATTGGGGACTTTATCTCGTACCGATCAAACGCCCAGGCTGAAGGTTGGGTATGTGCGCTCACTTGGCTTGTGTGCTGAGTGCCGACGGTACAGATTGTATACCCCTGGATGGCAAGAGATTAAGGTAACTAGGCACCTCTTGAACCGTACGAATAATATGAATGCGAAATATAATCTCCTTCAATTGTGCCTCTCCTCTCACTGGAACGTGGTAGACTCAAGTCGCGGTGGCGCTGGCAGGTTGGCCATATAGAACGGAGCCGACCCCTCCATGGAATTCATGCAGGGCAGTCAAAGCCCCACCATAGCTTCCAAGCTCCGCCGTAAACTCCCCCATGCCACGCCGCCTCTCAGAACCTCCCTCCCTTCTTCACCACCCGCCCGCGCAATGCGCACACGCACCTCCAACCGCCAGAAGCGCTACACGGTCGAAAAATACGACTTCGAAAGCAGTTCCGATGAGGTAGCAGCCGCCACGCCGTCCCGCCGACGACGTAAGGACGCCGACGAGCAGGACGCAAACTTTGACGACGCGGCAGCGGACGACCAGGCTCCCGACGACGACGATGACGATGCAGTGGACGCCTCCGACGACGATGGCATGGCCATCGACGAAGACGATGATGACGACGCCTCCGATGTGCCCAAGGGACGACGGCGTGCCCCTGCTGTTCCTGCCGCGCGCAAGCCGCCTCGCCGCAGCGGCCCCGGCAAGTCCGGCGGCGGCGCATCCCTCGCGTCGGCACAATACCGTGACGTCGAGCCCGTACCGCCAGACTCGCACGCGGTTAAGACGTACAGTGGGCCGTACGAGCGCGGTGTCCGCGGCCAGTCGCTTATCCAGGTGTGGTTCGGGCCGGCTAAGGACGCCGTGCACACGACGCAGCGCCTGCTGGACCGCTGGATCCCGTGGCCGGTGCTGCCGCCAAAGGTGCTGGACGACGAGGACCTGAAGCGGCTGCCAGAGCGGGGCGTGTGGGCGCCGGGCTGTTTTGACAGGCAGTTTGAGCTGGGCAAGGCATGGAGCGAGAGATGGAAGAGCGCGCTCGGAGAAGATGCGCCGCATACAAGGACGCTCTCGGCTGAGGAGGCGATACCGTTCCAGCCTCCGAAGGGATCACTGCCCGTCTTCGTAGGGCCGTATCCTGACCAGACGGAAATGAAGTTCGCACCTGGCGACGCCTTTGTGATATCACAAAACGGTATTTCCTTCGAAGACGACCAGCACGAGGCCAAGGTCCCTTCAGGATGGATGCTCGACACGGGCGGCGTGATCGTCGGCATGGACTGGGCGCCGCGACGAGACGAGTCCACCCCGCAGGTTCTCGCTCTGGCAGTCATACCGCGCGCAGACCATGACATGTACGACTACGAGGAGGAGCATCAGGAGCCGGGGTTTGAGCGGCACGGCACGGTGCAGCTTTGGGAGTTTCGTGGCGAGAGGATTGGTGAGGCAGGCATGATGAGGCCCCTGGCCACGGCGCCCAGGCTGCAGAGGACACTGTGCCTGGATTGCGGGCGGGCGAGGAGGGTCAAGTGGAGTCCAGGGTGTGAGAACTTGCTGGCCATTCTCTGCGGCGATGGGAGCATCCGCGTACTCGAGGTGGAGGGAGAGGGTGACGGTTCATACGGTGCGTCAAATCTCTATCTATACGAGGGTGAAGCCACCAGACGTTTATGCTAACAGGAAGCAGAATGCGTCGAAACGCCAATCGCCGTTCTGAGGATGGTCGACGAGCAGGGAGTCAAGGCCACAGCCATGGACTGGGTCTCGGTTAACCGCCTTGTCGCCGGCTACACGGACGGATCCGTGGCTCTCTGGTCCATCCACCCAGCCCGCCTCCTCTCGCGCCACCCCGTTCACCACAGCGACGTCATCGCCCTCTCGACGGGCTATCCCTCGCAGCCGTACCTCGTCTCGTCCCTGCCTGTAGGCGGGTCCGCCAAGCTCGTCGACCTGCGCTGCCCGAGCTACGAGACGACCGAGGTGCAGATCAACGCGGTCAACACGGAGCCTAACATGCTTGCCTGGAGCGACCACCTGCAGGGCTTCTTCTCGACGTACCCGTCTGCCAACGCGCTCAACACCATGGTCGGCTTCATGTTCCACCGGCACTTTCCCCTCGTGCGCCGCATCTTCACAGCCGAGTGCTTCCCATCGTGCCTCGCCGTGGGGAAGACGCACCCGTTCCTGCTCGTCGGCACGACAGACGGGTCGCTGTGGGCCCTAAATCCGCAGTGCGAGCTCTTCAAGGCGCGCCGGCCGCCGACGGACCGCATACGCCTGCTGCAGCACCAGCATCGCCCGGCGGAGCACTTCCCTCCAGATTCTCCGGCGTCCTCCCGCGGTGCGGCCAGGATAGTCCAGGGATTCGCCATGGAGAAGAATTCGCATGGCACGGAGACCAGAGGCCCGCCCAAGAAAGGCAAAAAGGCGAAGAAGGGCGAGGACGGTGACGAGGGAGGTGGCGACGACGAGCCCAATGCGCTCATGGATCCTTCGCGCGCCGTGGTCCACGAACTGGGCACGCGCGTTGCGGTGGTGGAGTGGAATCCCAACGAGGGATACGGATGCTGGGCCGCGGCCGCGCTCGGGTCGGGGCTCGTGCGCGTCATGGACCTGGGACTGGAGAATGTTGCTGTTGATGAGTGATGTCGATGATACCCATGAATTGATGCTATTCGTTTATGCACTGCGACCCCATGACGGTGTGGTGATAGTCAAACGCCTTGGTCATGCCGTAAAAGTGCGTCCCGGCAGCGAGCAGGACGAACATGTGGAAGATTTGGTGCGAGCTGCCCCAGATGTCGAAGGCGCCTGGCGAGCTGCGCTCAGGCCAGCGGACCTGCGACGGTTAGACTGCATTCACAAGTGGCATTATCTGCCGGACTTACTGCGTAGAGTACCGCGCCAAAGATGTACATGGCGCCGTGGCCGATGACCCAGCTGATGCTCATCCGGTCTTCGAGCTCCCGGAAGCCGTAGACGGACAAGCCATGAACGACGGGAATGACGCCTGAGAGACCCAGGCCGATGAACATGCTGGCTCGATAAGGCCGCCACTGAGGCGTACGGAAACGCTCTATCCAGGAGACGGCAGCACATCCAGTACCGAGGAGACATATCTGCGACATGTTAGCTTTGTGGCTCGCTGGACGTGGCGCCACGGCGACTAACCAGGCCGAGATATCCTGTAAGCAAGACTGGCTTGCAAAAGAAGCCATAGTACAGCGCGGGGACGTAGCTCCCGACAATCAATGCCACGATGCCCGTATAGTCGAGCTTGTTCCCCCAGCGGGCCACCTCCTCGCTATGATCAACGAGCGCATGGAACGTGGCGCTCATGCCCAGACACACCACCGCGCCGCCAAAGAAGCACGCAAAAGCGCAGACATCCGCGCTCGAGGCAAAGGCATAGCGCTCACGCACGACGCCATACAGGCACCACAGAGAGATGCCCACGGCGACGATGGCGCCGAGGAGGTGCGTCCAGATGTTGACGGACTCGTTGTGCAGGTAGAAGAGGGAGCGCAGGGAGTGCGCGTACGAGCCGCGGATGGGCCGGTAGCCAGAGCGGATGAAGGCGTTGTCGCGGCGCCAGGCGGGCAGGTCGTCCCACAGGTGGAGGAGGGTGTGCTCGGCTTTCTGCTCGAAGGCCTTGACAGCGTGGACGATGGCGTCCGCCGCGGAGGACGAGGATGAGGATGTGCGCTGGTGTTGTTGGCGGCGACGCGGACCGTCTGCGGTGTTGGCGCTGTGGCCCTTGGCTTCGGGCGTGGCGGCCATGTTCAGGTTTCCCACCGCGACGGTGCAGAGGTCTACATGCAGCAGTGTAAAGTGTCGTCTGGTCTGGATATCATGTTGGGATGGCGGCGCGGCCCATGGCTCGCTTTTAAAGTGGACGCGGTGTGGATGATGGATGATGCAAAGTGGTTGATTTTGGGGCGATGGGAATTGTTGGGAACAGCACGTGTAAGTCCGACGGACGCTCCGAGGCTGCTGCTGCTGGTCTCGCTGCGCTGCGCTGCGCTGCGCTGACGGCGATCCACCACCAGCAAGCAATCTGCTGAGGATCAACGTTTCCAAGGAAATAACAAGCTATTCAAAGAGGTTTGGAGGCGATGGCCATGACGCGTCTGCAAGTGGTCGACGTCTGCCACTTGGATCGGCCTCGGACGGTTCGGCGCCAACGCCACGCCCTATGCAGCCTTGCCGGCGAACGGGCACAGCGCCACGAATTCATCAGGCACATGGCATCGACACATGGACATCACGGGCCAGGAACCGGCAAGACTTGGGGCGTTTATCGTTTCTCATTAGCAGTCACTCATCTGCAACCCCGCGGTATACCGAACATTGAACCCAAAAAAAACAAAACACCATCCCCGCTCGTTAGCACTACGCAGCACGGCACAAACACGAGGTTAGCCTTTCACGCTGCGGGCGCGCAAGCCATCGCCGTCGCCGTCGCCTCGCCGCTTATTTCTTGCCGCTCTTCTTGATGCCCTGGGCGCCGGTGTTGAGGGGGCCCTTGCCGCCAGCCTTGGCCGCCATTTCCTTGCGTGCCTTTTCCTCTGCCAAGATGTCAGTTTCTCATCGGCGTGACGTCCGCGTTTCGTGGTCAGGGCTCCGTAGGTAGGTAGATGGGCTGCGTACCGGCGCGCTTCTTCTCGAGATAGGCCATGTCGTCCTCGTCGAGCTCCTTGTTGGCCTTCTTGGCCGCCTTCAACGGCTTGGCCTTGCCGCCTGCGCAGCAAAGTGGTCAGCGAAAAAAAAAGTCCCAACGGCACAGCAGCATACGAAACTGCGTTCGGCGTGTCTGCAGGTCCGCAGCCAAGTTGTCGCGTACCTTCTCTGTTGGCGCCACCCATTTTTGTCTGTAGCGAGAGGGGATCCGGGGGAAGAGACTGAAGGTGAGTGATGACGGTACGTACGGGCGCTCGTTCGGCTGGCGGTGGCAATGCGGATGGACGATTCTCCCCGTGGCGACAGGGAGTCGCGATATTTTTGGCGGGCGGTGAGGACAGCCTGGAGGGGACCCTGCGGGGCAGAATCTTCACGGTACCGATCTTATGTAATCGGATCCGTGAGCACGACGGCCCCACATGTGGCTCGCCTGCTGCCGGCTGAGCTAGTGCCTGTGGCAGCTGCTGGTGCTGCTGCTGAGAACGATGAGTTCATGTTTTGGATCCCGCCCGGCAGCGACATCGCTTCACCCACTTCACACCTCCCAAACACCACCCCTCCGAACATTCGCTGCGGTATAGCCATCACCACCACACAGCAGCACCCCGTCATCGTCAGCATCCTGTCCGTCTGACCTTGGCTCCTTCCGTCCCCCCGAGCGATTCGCTTTCGGTCGCTTCATTCCCGCGTCGCTCGCCGCCAACTCTGGGCTGCTCGCCTGAGCCCGAGTTACTGCGAAGCATCGTCGTCTTTCCCCCACTGCAAACGCCGCTTCTACCACTTCAATTCGACAGCCCCTCCTTCCTAAACACCCCGCATTGGTCTCTCATGGCCGCGGGTTAAACGACTGTTGTTGATCTGGTTGGACGCTTCCTTCTGATACGCGCTGCCGCATTCTCAAGAACGCTCGCTGACGCTCCTTCTGCCCTTGGCACTGTCCTTCTTGGTCCTCCCCCCTCCCTCCGGCTTGCCCATCATGTCGTTGAGCTCGGACGAGGGTGAGATCAGGGACGATGGAAACGGGGACCTGAAGGCATCTCCCCAGACTTCTCGAGCAGGAAATGGAGTTGACCGTCAAGGCAGACCGCGCGACCCGTCGCCCGCTCCGTCGCGAGGGAGCGCCAGCTCCTCTCGCCGGAGCCGCTCTCCTCGCGGATTCAAGAGGCTGCGTGACGACGGAGACCACTATGGTGGTGGACGAGACTACGATTCGAGACCTTCGCGTTCTCGACGCGATGACCGCCGGGGACGAGATCGCGGCAGGCGACCTTCCGACAGCGTCTACGACGACGCCCCTCGACACGACTACCGCCGAACGCGCGTCTCGTACGAGGACCTAGACCGTCCGGCGCCCCACGGCTCGAGCTTCAACGAGTCTCGTCAATATCGCGACGACGCTGATCAGCACCGCCGCCGAGATCAGGACCGCGATCGAAACGGCCATCGACCTCGCGATGGCGGCTACGGTCGACAGCACGATCGCTACGACAACCGTCGCCGAGACGCCTACCGCGATGAGCAGCCACGACGTCGAAGCCGCTCCCCCGGCATGCATCGACGCGATGCGGGCGACCACGGAAGACGCGATCGCGAGAACGGCGCAGCCAGACCCTCGCTCCCACTGCGGCCGGATTCACGCACATCGGAGGCCCCCAATTCCGCCGCTGCTGAGACAGCGTCGAACAGAATGTTGGTGATCCTCAGACTTCCTTCTCGCACCGTTATCCTGTTGCCACCCTCTTCCCGTTCCCCGCTGCAGCCGTTTGTCATTATGTCTTTGCAGCATTCCCCTACTCCCTCGTCGTGGATGGCGGTTATCTCTGTGTCTCCACGTCCGCGAACTCGTTCTCTACCCCCATGGCGTCGTCCTACTCCCCTGTCTCTCCGTTCTGTTCCCCCATGGCGGCGTCTTCTTGTCCCACGGCGTCGTTCTACTCCCCCGTCTCTTCGTTCTATTCCCCCATGGCGATTTCCAGAAAACATGCTAACTCCTGTGCAGGGAGACGACGAAGGAGCCGTCTCCGGAACCAGATTTCCAGGAACCGGAGCCGATCGACGAGGACGCCGAGATTGAGCGGCGCCGGAAGCGGCGCGAGGAGCTCCTGGCCAAGTCCAGCTCGGCCACGCCTCTGCTCCTCCATGCCGTCGGGGCCGCCGCCGAAAAGGCCGGCAACACGGCATCGCCCGCTTCCACGCAACCAGAGCCTCGCCAGCAATCGCTGGAGGCCCGTACCCCCCGGACGCCAGGCTCTGGTAAGACACCATACCCGCAAGAGTAATGTTTGAGTAATGACCGTATAGACTGGCCCTCGCCTCGCTCGCCCGCCTCGCGAGACGAGCCTCTGGACGACAAGGGCCTCATGAACACGCATGTCAACGCGGAGGCCGCTGAGCCGGAGGGGCCATCGGCCGCCGACTACGACCCAACCGTTGACATGCAAGAGGATGAACGCAGAGGCGAACTTCGGCATGGGCAGGCCGTCATGCACGGCGAAGCACAGCCGGTCGATGCGCCCCATCCGGAGAGTCCTAAGCAGCGGGACTCTGATGACGAGGAAGATGACTTTGACATGTTCGCCGAGGATTTTGACGAGGTCAAGTACGCGGCTCAACGGGCCAAGGCGCCAGACACGCGCCAAGTCCAGGGCGGCATCCTGGAAGGTGATGACTCGGAGGGCTTCTACAAGATTCGCGTCGGCGAGATCCTGGACTCTCGCTACAAGGTTCAGTCGGTGCTAGGTCAAGGCATGTTTGCTCGAGTTGCCCGCGCCGTCAACCAGGAGACCAAGAAGGTGGTCGCCGTCAAAATAATCCGCAACAACGCGGCGCTGCGAAAGGGAGCGCTCACCGAGATTGCCATCCTGAAGAAGCTCAACGACGGGGATCCATCGAATAAGAAGTACATTGTCCGGTTTGAGCAGTCTTTCGACCACCAGGGACACCTCTGCATGGTTTTTGAGGGGCTGGAGATGAACCTTCGCGAGGTGCTAAAGAAGTTTGGCAAGAATGTCGGCATCAACCTCGAAGGCACACGGCGCTTTGCGCGGCAGATATTTGTCGCGCTCGACCATATGCGCAAGAGCAGCATCATCCATGCCGACCTAAAGCCTGACAATATCTTGGTGAGTTGCCGGCGCTGGCCTAGATGTGGGTGGATGCGGCAATGCTAACGAGGGCAGATCCATGAAACGCGCCAGTTTGTCAAGATTTGCGACTTGGGAACCGCCATCGATAGAGATGATGCGGCGACGGCGCACTCGCAGGTCACACCGTACCTGATCAGCAGATTCTATCGAGCACCCGAGGTGATTCTGGGCATGGACTATGACTACGCTATTGACGTGTGGTCCATCGGCTGCACGCTGTTCGAGCTGTTTACGGGCAAGATCCTGTTTCCCGGCGAGAACAACAACCAGATGCTCAAGCTCATGATGGAACTTCGTGGGCGCATGTATCCCAAGTACTACAAGCGCGGACAGATGTGGCCGCACCACTTTGACGACCGCGACAACTTTGTCAGCGTCTCGCGCGACAAGATTACCAACAGGGTAAGCGGCGTTTTTCGATGTTTGTGGATTCGATGGCGGCCGACGATTTTGGCTCGAAACGCCGAGTCATCGCCACCGCAGTCCAGGCCGAGCCCGGACCACGCGCGGCGTAAGTGCGTCGCTGAGCGGTGCGATGGTAATGGCGTGTCGGCGTAGGCGCCGAAGAGGATCGCGGAACGTTGGATCGGGATTATTGCTGGACTATTGCCCAGTGGCTGGTGTCCCACAATTCCTGTCAGCGGCACTGCAGGCTGCCACGCTTCAGTCGTGGACCAGGGTCTATCCGTCAGCCTCATCCTCGAATTGGCCTCAATATTGGTTGGCGGCGGCTTCGCCTTGTTTCTGTCTTTGCCTTGTTTCTGCGCGTCCTGGAAGTCACCGTGTTCCAGCCCTGTCATTCGCGCCCGGCATTGGGGCCAGCTACTGACGCGCATCTCTCTGATTTAGGAAGTCATGAAGACCATGATTGTCAAGCCAACCCGAAGTCTGGGCTCCCGCCTCGACGATGCCGCCTCGGGCATGTCAGCCGCCGAGAAGCAGGATCTAGACCGGTTCCGAGATCTGCTGGAAAACTGCCTCGTGCTGCACCCGGAGCGACGCATCACGGCGGCGGAGGCGCTCCAGCACTCCTTCTTCCACAACAAACGAGTCCCGACGCACCCACGCTAGGATAAGAGGGGCATGTGGAAACGAGCTTGATTGCTGGGCGGGAGCGAGCCAGCTTGGGTGGGAGCGGGATTGATGCGTGGCGCGCGGAGCAAGGACGGTACCGGGGCGGGAGTACATTGCGCTTGTTTCAACAGACGACACACTGCGACGGCGTTGGACGGTTGTGCTGCGTACGGGAACACTTGGGTCACGGCGGACAGGCCGCATCATCAGCCAGCCAGCGCATGGCGCATGCAGACCGTGCTCGAGAAGGGCACTTGGGGGTATGTCGGTCGCCGCGGCTGGTATGGCATAGGATAGGTATCGCTGTTGGAGTATTGGAATACAATACATGTGTGCGCGGATGAATAGCGCCGATGATGCGATGCCGCCGTGTCACTGGGGTGAGGCTGTCGACTTGCACAAGCCGCCCGATGCCCTGCTGTCCTCGCCCGGCCTGCGGCTGTGCCTGTGCCTCTGCACTCGAGTGGTCGATGGTCTGTGGTCTCTTGAGCGCCGCCACGTCGTGTCCGCCTCGCCACGGCGGTGCTGCCTCTCCGTCCTTGCTTTGCCGTGCCTCGCACCTGGTCTATCTGCCTCGCACCTGGACACCTTCCTCCCGTCTGCATCTGCCACAACCCAGCCATGCGCCGGGCGTGGCACGCCGCACAACCCGAGACCTGTTGCGGCTGGGTCATGTAATACGTACCGGTCCAGGTGATGATAGAACGAAGGCTTTCACGCCTGAAGCAACGCAATCGCTTTTTCTCTCCCCCGCCAGTCTCTTGTACGGAGCACTATACGTTTCTTTTTTTTTTTTTTGACTGGATTTCAATTGCAGAGACGTGATGATGATGTAGGTTTATTTTTCAGGTCTCTTGTTTATTGTGCGTGTGTGCCTGAAACCCGAATAACACGCTCTATCTAGCTGAGCGAAGCTGGCTAGCTACCCTAGACGTTGTACACTTGCCACGGTGCTGCAGCACGACAGGGTATTAATTAGAAAGCGGGCTTGAATTGGGGGTCTCTTGCGCGTTGCAGCTAGGAAGGAAAGGATGTTGTGGGAGTGCAGCTCGTGGTGTTGTGCATGGCTGTCGTACCTTCCGTGCGTAACCCAGCAAAGCGAGCAATGCTGTTTGGTTGAGCGCCGTGACGAGGCTGAGTACGAGGCTGGTCAGGCAAGGGGGGGCTGGCTGCCCGCACACAGACATATTGACAATGCAGGTGAGAGGCATGATTCCCTACGTCCACGCTTTCGAACCGGGGCGTCGGCTGAAGGGCTGGGCTGGGCTATGGTGAGGGAAATATGCTTGTCTGTCATGCATGACATGAGAGGCGGCGATATTGAGGAGGCGGACAGGTAATAAGCGCAGGGGCAAGGGCACGGCTCGCCAGCCTCGCCGCGAGAGCGATACAGCAGCACGACAATGCGCGGCGTGTTTACGAGGCTATTACATACTTAGGTAGTCGCCGAGGCGGGGATTCCGCCACCGCCCTGCGTTGCGTGCAGTGGGCAGGATCCGGGCATTGCAAATGTAAGGTAATAAGGCAGGTAGGCTCGGCGTCTACACGGCAGGGCAGGGCACAGACAATGCACGCTCACCGTCTACGTACGTACTCCGTACAGCAATATTACGGCGCAGCATATCGCATCGCAGCAGGCACCCCGAGGGACAATGGCCGAGCGAGCGAAAGACGCACAGAGAAAGGTAGAGACAGCTGCGCGCCGCCCCGCCAGCATGGCCAGCAAGCCAGCCAGCCAGCCAGCCAGCTGCAGCAGCGCCTCGCACCTGCAGCGGGCGTTGGGCGCTTGAGGAAGGGGCCGGCGCTGCGGCACGGCACCGGGGCTACGGCCACAGCCGCTGCGAGTCATCCACGGGCGTGGCCGGCGCCCTGCGTCTGTTGCGGCCACCAACCACCTGGCCTGCGAGCACCGGCCTACGGGGGGCTGCTGGCAGTGGCACATACGACACTGTAACCCAAGTGCCGGATTGGATAGAGAGGCGCGCCAGAGGGTTTGCGCAGTCGCGTGCAGCTCGTTTGCCGGGGCCGATGCGGGAGGCCGGGCAAGGCGGGGGAGTCCGACGCAAGGGGCGGCCGTTTCGGCTGCCGGAGAGCAAGCAAGCAAGCAAGCACACGATGCGTCACGCGTGCGGTTCATGACGTCCGTGCCTGCGTCCCGAGACCAACCCGTGTCTGCATAGATCAATATCGTCGGGTGCGAATGCGCAGGTTTCGTTCCCGAGCGGACAGCCGTCGGTCAGCCCGTGAGCACGGCGCACGGCGACGTCGAGGCAAGACGGACCACCAAGATGCGCAGGGAGGACATCCAGACTTCCAACCTGTAAGTGCAGGTCCACGATTCAACATGCCTCCCCGTGTGTGTGCGACGGACCACGAAGGGAGGACGGAAGCCGTTGAGCTGTGCCTGCGCTGAGCCCGGCGCACGGGAGTCGTCCTGCTTCACCTAGCCTGCCTGCCTTGCGCTGGCGAAGCCCACGTTGGCGGAGGAATCATGCATACCGCATTGCAGCTTGATTGAGCCGAGTGACGCTGACCGAGGCCCGTCTGGGAGTGAAACACGGTGACGACAGAGCACCGGCCGGCAGTGATGCGTCTGTGCTGGTGCCGCGGTATGACCTGCCTTACACGGCGATGATGCGAGGGAGCACCTTGTAGGACACGTGAGAGAGGCAATCGAGGATCCCGCCCTGAGCAACGGAGCACGATCACGGCGCGCTGAACGAGCGGTGACGTGTTGTGGCTGATAGACGTGCGCGTGTACGCAGGGCAGACGGCCAACAGCCGCAACGGCGTCGCAGCCGATGAAACATGCAGTGATATTCCCAGGCCAAGGCGTCGGCTGTGCGCCTGCGACCAGATTCGACGATCGTACTTCGTACTGCGTGGTGAGTCGTTGGTTGGACAGACAGACTGAGGTGGTCGAGCGCCAGGACTAACTTAGTGTACCGTTTCGCACGTCCTTTTCGCCGTCCGTGCCGTCGTCACCGTCTCGGGATCTCCAGTGATGGAGGGTCGGGAGCACCGTAACCGACGGTCACAGGGAGAGGAGCAGACGGTCCGACGCGGGCGAGGGGCTGCTGAAGACCGTGCGGCGCGGTCCACGCATCCACGGCAGATGGTGGGCGGCCGATCTCCAGGTGGTCAATGGTTCAACGGGAACACCGAAAGCTGTACGGACACAACTTTGGTAGCGTTGGCGCTGGCGTTGGCGTAATCCGTGATGGTGGTGGTGGAGAGCGCGTGCAACGGCGCAGCCACGGCTGATCGATAGACCCCAAGCGAACGCAGCGTGCGCACCGATCGAGAAGAGGCACAGATCGAAAGCCACAGGCGGGATCGAATCGAATCGAAGGGAAGGGGTAGGTTAGCGTAGATGGCATGCAGCGGCGAAGGAGAAGGCAGCGGGCGCCGATCGCCTCTCTGTGCGCGCGCAGACGGGCAGGCACACGATCACACACACACAGGCCAAGCTTTTTCTTCCGCAGCACGCGTGCGGCGCGTGGGGAAAGGGAAAAGGGGGGGGGAGGGGGCGAAGGTTGATGTCATGGCGGATGGTTGATTACAGAGAAGTGTCGAGATGGTTGGAGGTTTGGTGCCGACTGATGGGTGGTGAAATGTGGGGCGCAGGGAGAGGCCCTCGAGAGACCGGCCACTGTTTCTCACTGGCTACGGTGGAGGCGACCCCGCAAAGCCCCCGCTGGAGCTTGGAGGGGGACTGCGTGTGCCCTCTCGCTACAGCGTGCCACGGCGTGCCACGGCGGGCATGCTGCTGCCCCCTAGCGCTGACTGACGGGACGTCGCTGTGAAATCAATTCCAGTGAGGTGATCAACCGAGGGGTTCTTGTGGCCAGCGCCCCCCCTCCGGCTCCCACTGCGATCAGCCTACAGGTGCGGGAGTGCCCCGAAACAGCCGTCGACGCCGCTGGACTGCGTGTGCCAACCCTTGGAAAGTCTCCATCCGGCCATTCTCACGGCGTGCCAGATCGGCGCGGACTGATTGACTGACTGCCCCGTCATTGTCACTGACCTGCCGAATTATGCAACGATGCTCGCTCGCTCGCTCAGCGGCGGATGTTCACTCCGGAATGCCCGGGGTCTGTGATTCGTATCGAGGCTCGCGATCCAGGTGCTCGCCCAGCCTGGTCTCTTCCCTCATCCCCCCGTCAGGTTCAATTGTTCCCGCCGGCCGGCAGCCCCGCCGATTGCGACCCCTCATGCCCGCCCACCCTCCGGGGCCCGGCCGTAGAGCACCTACGAAGTACACCCCGGCGCCGGCGTCACCTCCACCCTTTCGTCCCGGCCTCCCAGCGGCAGAATCCCGTTGCCGTCGACGTCTCACCCAGCCTGCCCGCGGCCCCCCTTCTCCATCCCCTTCCACGTCCCTTGGCCTCATGTAAGACCATCCACGACGACAGCGTCGATGACGACGAAACGGCCCGCGCCTGGCCTGGCATCCCGTCCGTCCACCTGACCTTCACCGTCTCGCGAGTCGCCACCACGCCCTCACCTCCCCTCCCCCCCCTTTTCCTCCCTGCGCATCATCCCATCGTGAAACCTCCATAGCCGCCGGCCTCCCATCCCAGCCCGCACCAGCCCTGCTTGTCTGTCCGAGGGGACACTACTCCAACACACACGGCGTCACACCTGCGATCCTTTCGCATTCTCCCCTTGCTCTCCATGCGTATTGGTCCTCGGCCCGGCGGCTGCGAAGGAGGAACGGACCCCTTCTGGCTGGCCCCACCGAAGTGTCACTTACACGCTACCATAGTCTCGACCACGTCTCCTTAGCGAACGAAGCCTCAAATAGACAAGGCAAAGAAGGAGGCCAGAAACAAAAAAGCAAAGGCAGAGAAGAAGCGGTGAGCACATGTTTTGGGGTCTCTCTAGTCTCTTGCTACGTACTCGTACTAGACGGGGGCCAATACGTAGTCCTCCTGCCATCTTTCTTCTGCGTAACCCTGCGCGACACGCGACACGGACGCAAGGGCTCCCGCCGCGCTCTACATGAAACGCAAAAGCAAATGGCTGGACGTAGTTTATCACCACCACTTAGTAATACTTGTCGGCTTAAGCTTGGTACGGGGCACCTACACGGCATTTGGCCGTGTTTAGCCTGGGGGCCAGCCCACTCCAGGAGCCGGCCGGGAAAGCAAAATAGACTGGAGGCAGGACTGGGACCCGCACACGCGAGACACACATGGCGCGCCCTGCTCGACGCAAGGGAGACCAGAACTGACTGCAACAACAACAAACTAACACCCCGTCATCCCGTCCCCAGGCAGGCCCCCCCGACCACCCCCCGGCTACCGGTGGGGTTAAGCAAGCAAGCAAAGCAAGGCAAGGCAAGGCAAGGAACTCAAACCCAGCGTAATGGAAGCTCCCGGCGAAGCTTCCAGGCACGCCACGCTATCCCGAGTGGGGGGGCAGGCATTAATGGTGGCCCCGAATGTCTGTCGCAGGCGCAACGCAAGGGAGGCACGCAGGCTCGCTCGCGTATCGTCCCGCAGAGGGCCCGTCTGGACTTTGGACCCTGCCCGGCCTTGCCGGCAAACCTGGCTGGGTCTGGTGGACGGCCCCCCGGGACCGACGGAGAGAGACCATGATGCGCATGCCCGAGACAGACGGCCGGGCATCGGTGGGATGGATGAGTGGGACGCGTGCGTGCGTGGATGAATGAACGGTTATGATGTGATGAATGAATGGGTGAATGGATGAATGTACTTGTCTCATCTATGGGCTTGCTGCTGCATGAGTCTGCTACGTCGCCCGGCGCACGCGTGCCATATGCCATCCTCCGCGGCACAGACACATTGACTGTCCTGCGCCGGCCCGGTCAACAAGAGCATGCATGCGTGCATTCCACAACTCCCTAAGACACCAAGACACGCAGTGCCTGCGACTGCCTGCCCGTCATGCCCGTCTCCTAGCCCACTCGAAAAGATCCCCTGTCTTGCCTTGTCGGCCTGCGTTGCCAAGTTGCCTTGTCGGCCTGGCCGCCTGCCACCCGCTGTCTCAGACCCTGAACGACATGTCCCCCCAAAAACACTGACCTGCCAGAATTAGCCATGCTCTGCATTCGTCCTCGCCCTGCTAGCGCATCGCTCATCCCGCCCCTTCTCCTCTCTCTTTCTCTCTCTCTCTCCCTCGCGTCAAACGGGGGGTCCCCATACCTGAAAGTCCTTGATATCAACTAAATCCACCGCGTGACACCACCATGACATCAGGTCCGTCACTTCACTCGTGGTGGCACGAAAACGACCGGTACTTGAGCTTCAGCTCGTCGCCGACGACGGGCTCCCTGCAGCGCGTGTTGTCCACGAAGCCCAGCTCGAGCCCCAGGCCGTCGCACCGCAGCCCCTGCCACGCCTTGCACACGAGGCGGTTGTGCATCGAGATGAGCGGGTCGTACGCGAGCATCGACCGCGCGTAGTGCGAGATGGGGTAGCACCGCCCGTCCACCACCGCGTCGCGCTTGTACCACGTGCAGAAGCGCATCCGCGACCGCCGGCACCAGCAGTCCGAGTTGTAGATGGTCAGCGTGTAGGCCGCCTCCACTAGGCTGCTGCGGTTGCTGTCGATGGTGGCCGTGGTGTTGTCGCCGGCGGGCGGTTTGGGCCCGAGTGCCGCGATGGCGGTGATGAGTGTGGCTGCTACGGCCCAGCGCATCGTGTTGGGTTGGCGTCGGAGGCGCGAGAGAGTCGAAGAGAGACGATGATAGATAGGGACCACCATTAGGTCGGTATGGGTTGTGGACTCGGTGAATGAATGCAGGGGAAGATCCATTTCGAGTCGTGCGTCCTCCTCCGACTTTTATTATCACGTCCTGTGGATTAGACCGGGCCCAAGAAAATACAATTTGCGAGGGCGCAAATTCTAACCGCGTAGCTTGGTCGTGGTGTAGCTAGATACGAAGCCTCGCCAACGTTCACCTCACTTTCAAAGTTTGACGCATAGTCAACCTTGCCAGCTTCGTCAAAGTACGTAGCGACCAACAGTCACAACGTCCTTCGCCGTCAGAATCATCTCAAACGCAACAGCGCGGCTTTTTACGAGACTCAGAGACGCAAAGAAGCATCGAGCGAAGCTGTGTGCGTCTTCGTCGGTGGTCGACAACGAGGGACCGGCCCGGCTCCGGAGTGGGTCCAACGCGGCGGCGGTCGGCGCCGGGTGGGTCCCTACCCCGTTCCGCCAAGTCTGTTGCTGGCAGCCGGACAGCCGTGCCACCCCACGACTGCTGCATGTTGGTCCAGCAGCCATGGGCACCTGGTCGGTGACGCTCAACAGGGCTTGCGTTGGCTGCTGCCCGTGCACCACGCGCGGTCGGGCCCGCCGAAGCAGGGCAAAGGAGGTGCAAGCGAACCTACCCTTCAACCAGTGCCGCCGACCAGGCTGCTGGATGTGATCTCTGCTCAGCGGACACGCCCGGGCGAGCAAACAAGAGAGTCCGTCCAGGCACCACACCACTGCTCCAGGAACTCTCCCTGACCTCAACGTGTCTCGGTTCTACCTGGGCAACACAGGCTTACAGCTGCCACCGACTCATAGGCACGACACATCTTGTTGGCAGCTCGGATCGGATTGACAGTCGCTTAGTGATGCAATCTCGACGCAGAATGAAACCACGGGGCGGCCATTGCGTGGGAGCTCAGTCAGTGACCGCAGATGATGCACAGTCGCAGCCGAGTTAGGGGACGGGAGCGAGCACGGGTCGTCTCTGAAGCGGTTGGACAGAGGCCATGGACAGACACATGGACACACCTCACCAGCCAGACCGTGGTGCTTTCACGTTGGCGTGCTGGACCCGCTGGCACTCAGAGTGAGATTCCGATCGGCCTGTTGTGTTACAATCGAGAACGACGCCTTAGTCCCAGGGTGGCGGCAATTGGGATGCCACGCCTGGAAGAAGAAGTGGCCGAGGCTTCGGGGGATCGCCCTGCCGGTGATGACCTCGTCTGGATGTGCATGCGCGGGAACCACCGCAGTGAGAGCATGGCGCTGGTTGTCCGTGGCACGCGCCGCGAAGGGAGGCTGCAGCACGGTCCGCGGAGGCTCCCAGGGGCCGGACGAGGCTGTCGAGGCGTCGGGCACGAGACAACCCAGTCGGCGAGGCGCTGGCGGGAGGAGCAGACTAGCGGATCAAGAATAGGCAGTTGGGCGGCGGTTGAATAGGGACACGCACAGCGTGGCCCCCAGTGGCTTCGGCGTCCATCCACCACACTCGCTCGCCTGCCGGGAGTCTGTGCAGTTGGGTCACGGACATGGCATCATGGAGCGGAGTAGCGACGGACGAGATGGTGGGCTCGGACTATCATTATCCCCCCCCCAAGGAGCAGCCAACACCGGGCCGCGGGGGGGTTGGCGCGCGGGCTTGAAGGCATCGTTCAGCTGAGGACTAGTCAGCAGCCACTCCGGCGACCACGGAGGCGGGACGCGGCATGCGGGCGAGGTGTGACGGGCAGTTGGCCACGGTCTCAGTGGCACGAACATCGCGGCGCCTCCATTGGCTTTCAGCGAGGCGGGAAGCTTCCAAGTCGTCAGTTCGCCCAGGCTGACTGACATCTGTGCGCGCCCCGCAGCAGAGCCAACGCTCGTCATATCGATATACCAGAGCACCGGCCAATGGCGAGTCTGCCGGGCACGCAAGTGGCGCCGTGCCAGCTAGCGCGAGGTTGGAGTTTGGCCAACGTCCCCTTGAGTCCCTGGTCCCACGCGTGTTGCTCTCTTCGAGAAGCCAACCGCAGGCGATATCGAAAGTCGGAAGAAGCAAAGCAAACCGCCTCGCTGACCGACCATGGTTCGGTGCTGCACCGGCCATCCGTCGCGGCGGCTGGGGTCGTCCAACCTGGAACAAGAGCGTGACGCTGCCGGCGGTTGAGTTTCACGTCGTGCCCCTTTTGGTGCCACTGGCGGCCGCGGCAGAAGAGCACACGGCTTGTGTCATACGGACGAGTGCAGTGGTCGAAGCGGCTCCGCAATTTAGGCGGTTTGGCGGCTCGGGGCATTTGGGAAACGCAGCAGGCACGGCATCGGTATCAAGCTCAGCCCTGAGCCCAGGCGAAACGCTCTCGAGGCAGGAGACGGCGAGATCGACCTGCGGATCGTAATGCTGCCGGGCAGCAGGTGGTCCGTGTGGAAGCGCCGCTGGCAAGGACCAGGGGCTGGCCCGAGGAGGCCAGCAGTCCTCCGTGGTCCGTCATCTCGCAGCCACGACGCCGCCGGGGCCGTGCGCGGGCTGCACCGTGGTTGGAGAAAGCCAGCCAGCAGCGGGAGGGGGCTTGGGGGCATGGCGAGCATGCGAGCGGCGCCAGAGCTGCTGTCGTGCAGGCCGGGGTCCGGGTCTGGGTCTGGCTTGATCCAGCTGCGTGTGTGGCCGTGTGGGCGGCTGGTGCTCGATCGTCGGCTCCCCACGTCAGAGATTAGATGAATGGAATTTCGACGAAACGAGGTGGCAGATGAAGCACCGACCGCACGCTATCGAAGTGCGAGGTGGGGACGGGCGGCAGGCGATGGCTTGGATGGCTGGCGATGCAGGGAGGCCGGAGGCAGTGAGTGGTGGATGCGGAGGGACAATGGGCGAGAGGCTGACGACGAAGCAGATCTGGCGCGAGGCCCAAAGCGGGCAAGGCGGGTTGGCGGGCTCCCGTGGCTGGCGCGTCTTGCCCGCCGCAGTTACAGTGCTTACCAGGGACTGCACACATGGCTGCAGGTGCTGCAGCTCCGGGATAGTACCCACTACTGCACCCAGCAGCGCATCACGATCAAGAGGGGAGCTCGGACCTGGCGCTCGACTTTGTTGTGGAAGATTTCCTAATCAGAACACTCCATGTTCGCGCCCGTCTCCTGGACTGGTGTTGGATGAGCCTTGGTTTGATAACAGTACTGCATCTCCTCGGCAGTCCCAGGCAGACGCCGGGATGCTTTGCAACGTGACGAAGCCGCAAACCATAAACACACAAAAGCTCCGTCGTCATGTGCGCCACGAGACTGACTGACTGCAGCAGCCTGTCGCCGCGAGATCCCAGGCACGAGCAGGGGGGCTGCATGCGGGCTTGTTTGCAACAGGAAGCATCCGCGACGCTGGAGGCTGCAGACCGCTATTCTGCCTGTTCTGCCTGTGGTGCCTGCGACGAGCCAAACGCCCGTTGGAGATCGTCTGCTGCGGGCTCCCAGCGCCGCAGCACTCTCCATCACAGCCTGAGTTGACCTCACACGGCGGCGTCAGCGCCAATGCGCCAGTGTGGGAGCCAGTGTGAGAGCCAGTCATCCAGTGTGGGAGCTTCCTGCCCGGGGAGGCAGGTTCGGCTGGCTTCGAACAGTCATATGCTGCGGCGGACTGCCTGGAATCCTGCCTGGGATGCTGGGGTGCTAGCTGGCAAACGCTGCCGCTCCGGGCCTCAGCAGGCGCCCTTCAGGCACAGTGGTCGGTACGGCAAGCACGGAGCTCGTCAGCCAGCACGATGTTCTCCGTGGTATTAGCCTGGACACAGTAGCGGGCACTCGACTGCCTTTCGCGCTAGCGCCTGGTACCTGAGGCCAGGGCCCCCTGGTCGCGTGCCTGCCCTCTAATGTCCATCTGCGCAGTTGGTGCCGTTGGCACAGGTCGGTTGCAGGTGCGGTGGTGCGCGCCTGCCTTCCCTCCGCCCCCCTGAAAGTGCAGCTCCAGGAGCAGCATCACGAACAGCAAGAGCGCCAGCAGCAGCAGGAGCGATGGATGGCAAGCCAAGGTGGATGGATCCCAGGATTCCCAGCATGCCATCCCTGCTCCCCCCATCATGCCCTCTTGGTGGGAAACAAAACACTCGATCGATTCTACTGGACAGCATCGCTGTGCTGTGCGCCGTCGTCAAAGTCGCCCTGCTCCGCCAAACACACAGACGTTGAGACAAGCGGCTCAGTGCAATCGTTCCGACGGCATTCACATCCCAGCTGCCCGCCAGCCGAGCCAAATGGGCACGGACACACGGACAAGCCCATTTCCCGCAAACTCTCATTGCGCCTGCGGGCCCTTTCTGTACGGTTACGGTGCGGTTCGGTACGGTGCACACTTGCCGACGGTCAACGGTACCGCACGGCTCACGGCTCGTGGCTCACGGCCCCGGTTGCAGGACCCCGGCTCGCGATATTATACGCAGGCCCGCCGCCGTTAATCAAAACGCTACACGGCGGGCCGGGATGCTGCAGCAGTGTCGCAAGACGGAGCCCACAAGCCCAGTGCTCACGTTGACGATTAATGATCCGCCTGGCCTGGCCTGGCCTGGCCGGGCCTTGGCCTCGTCTGTCGTCCATCGTCCGTCCCTGCGCCTCGCAGCTTGGCGTCGTCTGTCTGCTTCGTACCGCCCGTCGTGGGCTTGGCCGTTGGCGTCGCCTCGGATGCAACAGCCCAAGGAATGAATGCATGCGCTAGAGCGCTCGCTGCACACGGCGGCCAACGCGAAACTTGGCATGGCAGCCAGCGAGGAGATTGCCAGCGCTGCCCATTGGGCGCCCTCCCTTCTGCAGCCCCGTCCTTTGCACGCCGCCGCGGCGCACAACAGCCTCACTGTCCGGCGCCAGCGGGGCCGCGACTCTGCAATCCCTGGACCGACACAAGGCAGCGCGAGGCTGCCCGCAGGTCATGGAGACGCCGCCATCTGGGAGGGTGGTGTGCGCGCCCGGGATCCGGCTCTGCCACCTCCAATCACCTGGCGCCCTGGCAAGCAGGCCTCCTCTTTGGGCCATCGCCCGTGTTCCCCAGACCCAGGTGCCGGGCTGCGAACGGAGTCCTCGTCGCCTGCTCATTCCCGACCTCCCGTCTCCTCGACCATGTCCCGAGTCCGTGATGAGGCGAGTCGAGGCAGGGCAATCTCCAAGCCTCGTTGCTCCTGCTCCCCGCGAGCCACTTCTGGATTTGGCACGCAGGCTCATCACGGCCGCCCGGGGGGAGGCAACAGACGGCGAAGCCCTTTGATTCTCCCCGTGATCCACCAGTCAGTGTCCATGGCGCCCAATCTCCCGCAACGTGGCCCAACCAGCCGACGATCCAGGGTCCTCCTTCTCGTCCCCTGAGTCTTGTCTAACAGCAGGCCTCGCTGCTCTGGCCGCGCCTGGCCTGAGGGGGTCGGGGCCTGCTCTCATCGAGCGGCAAGCGTGGCGACCAGCCCAGCCGAGCCAGCCAGCCAGCGTCGATGGGGATGGCATGGCATGGCTCCTCGGACATGGGGCGGGCTCGTCTCCTCCACACGCTGCGGCTGCCTGCTAGCGGTTGTGACAGGCTGTGCATGACGGATCCAGCCACTCAGACGCGTCAGGAGTGGCGACGATCCTTCTGATGCACCGTCTGCAGAGGGGGCGGCCAAGCACGCCCATTGGATGACCTTGGCTTCTTGGGCGAATAATCGACGCTGGGCCTGTGGATATGGCTGGGCCGGGCAACAAGGCGATGCAAATGCAAACTGCCGGTCCGCCCGAGCTTCACTGGCCTTCCCGACGAGGCCGGACGTTGTGGAAAGCCGTCACCGATCTGCGTCCAGACCCCCATCTGTCGTCCGCCGCCGCCGCCGCCGCCGACGCCGCAGGCCGTCGGTCCAACCAAGGCCAAAGTCAAAACTGGCCACCAGTCGACTGACAGACTGGCGCATGCATGGCGTGGAGCGCGTGCGGAAGAAACGCTGGTCTCTGGGTCTGGCTCGTGAGGCAGCATCTGCATCGCATTGGGAACATGACCCACGTCGCCAGTCTCAGACGGGGCCACAACCGGCCGAGGGGGCCCATGACTTCATGCATTCCGGTCCACCAACAAGAAAACACGGTGGCCGCTGTGCTGGCCGGCGCTTGTCTCGCGGGCCTGCCGCCGCATCTGGGGACAATTAGAGCGCATGGCTCTGCTCGCTGCAGCAGAATTCCAGCGTTGTCTTCTGCGAGGTCTGGCGCCCGTTGCATGCCATTCCCAAACGCCCGCCTCGCCCGCCTGCCCGGCTGGTGCAGAGCCGCCACGCGGGACGGGATCGAGGCGAGCAAGAGCGAGGCGTGGTCGGGGTCCTGGGACGCCCCGCCGGTGCTCGCGGACACGCAAGGAACGTCAGAGGGCGACGCGGGAACGGCAGCGAGACGGAGTCCATGCCAGTCATGAGCGTCGTACGCCACGGTCCAGACTGGGAACGCCCGACAACCGAACAGCGTCACGGTTCGCCATCGCCGCCGGGAGGCAGAGTGAATCAGTCAGTCGGAGGGGCACCGTGACTGACTGACTGACTGGCTGGCGGCCTGGTGGGCGGCATGTTGGCTTCGCCTTCGCTCTCTCTGGCTCGCCCTCGCCCTCGGGTGGCGTGGGCCTGGCGTTCGCCCAGAAGGCAAAGGCAAAATTGGCTGGAGCCCATGACACACTGAAGAGGGGGGGGGGACGGGACCACTCGGCTCAGGTGTGTGTCAGACTCTGCCTGCTCTCGTATATTGCTCACCAGCGTCACCACGATATGGATCCCTGCTCTCGCTAGTGAGGCAAGTGAGGGTCGACCCATCCGTCGACCCATCCCTGGCCGCCCCCCCCCTTCCACGGAGCATCCACCAGCATGCTTTCGAGGCGGGCGGGCGAACCTTGCGGCGCAGTGTTAAGAATAGCTGCTGCATTAGCCTGGGATACCCACACATCCGCCCACCCACCCCTGCCAGCCAAGACAGGCTGCTAGCGCTTCCATGTCATCAATCTTTGCGTCCATTCTGATGAGGCCTGTGGATCCCTCTCCTGCGGTGCGTGTACCACGCAATCGGCTGCTCGGTACGTACTGCCCGCCTCGATGTGGAGCTTGGCCGCCCGTTTCGTTATCAACCGCTGGCTGCCCGCACCACTCCCGGGCCTGGGGACTTACATGCAGCACAGTCCGTACCGGCTATCGACCTCTTCACGACGTTCCTTCAACCTCCCTCCGCCAGCCATCTCTCCAAAGAGTCGCCCTTGCGCTCTCCCCGCAAGAAGCATCCAACCTCTTTGCGCCAGAGCAGACGCCTTTTCCCTCCTGCTTGTCTCTTCCATGCCCTTGACCCGTTGATTCGGCCCTCAAGGATATCCGTTGCGACTTTTGGCCGTCCCGTATACAGGAGTATCCAGCCGCCCATTTCTAATATCTCGGAACCGGATTCCTTCTGCTCTCCTCCCTTGGACATATCTTCGACTCGTTGCTGGCGGCTTTTCTCCTTTCTACTTCTTGTCTTCTTAATTTCCTTTTGGTGTTCCCTCCAAAAGTTGCGTCCGGCGGCCCAGAGGACCGTTGAAGAACCCACTCGGAGAGTATACCAGCGCAGCCGCATAACATGCAGCACCATGCACCCTTTGGATATCCCACGCCTCCCGCCTCTCCCGCCTACGACAGCCTGAAGTGCGGCATCCCGCCTGCATTTGCGACAAGGCCCTACCAGACGCGATGCATCCCGCTGGCCCCTGAAGAGAGGCTGGGCAGCCTGCTCGAAGGCAAGTTGCAGTTGACCGACATCCTGGGGACTGGCGCCTACGGTGTTGTCTACTCCGCTGTCGACATCAAGACGGGCGTTCGCTACGCCGTCAAGTGCCTCAGCAAGTTCAACGCCGACGGGACGCCCCTGGAGCGCCGCCAGGTTGCCTACCAGCAGCGGGAGATCCGGCTCCACTATCTGGCGTCTGCCCACCCCAACGTGGTGTCGATGCTCAAGATCGTGGACAGCCCGGACTGCATCTACGTCATCCTGGAGTACTGCCCCGAAGGCGACCTGTTCCTCAACATCACCGAACTTGGCCAGTACGTCGGAAAGGATGCCCTGTCCAAGAAGGTTTTCCTTCAGATCCTGGACGCCGTGGAGCACTGCCATAAGCTTGGGATCTACCACCGTGATCTGAAGCCGGAGAACATCCTGGTCACAGACAATGGAGAGACGGTCAAGCTCGCCGACTTTGGCCTGGCCACCGCCGACGACCGATCCGAGGACTACGGATGCGGCTCAACCTTTTACATGAGTCCAGGTAAATTCGAGCCTTTTCACTACTGTTTCTCTCCGCAGACGAACTGACCAAGTTTCTTTCCTCCCTCCCACAGAGTGCCTGGACCCCTCAACAGCGAAGCCTTACTACATGTGTGCTCCCAACGATGTCTGGTCTCTGGGAGTCATCCTGGTCAACCTGACTTGTGGCCGCAACCCGTGGAAGCAGGCTTCTTTCCAGGACTCCACGTACCGGGCCTATGCTCGCTCCCGGGATTTCTTGAAGACGATTCTCCCCTTGACGGACGAGCTCAACGACATCCTGGCTCGCATCTTCAACCCCATGCCTGAGTTTCGGATCACCCTCTCGGAGCTGCGATCCAGGATCATGGCCTGTACCAAGTTCACCATGCCGCCAATGGCAGCCATGCCGTTGCCGACACCACCTTCTACGCCCCCCCACATCACCGAATACGTTTCCAACGAGGATGCCATCGTCGACGACTACGAGTACGACGCGCCCCTCTCACCCGCCTCGACAACATCAGACGAAGGCTCGCTCGCCTCGAGCGTGTCTACGGTTGACGATCTGGACGAAGACTTCATCCAGGAGCAGCAGGACATTCCCCAGGACTATGTGCCGCACACATATGAACCTGAGGAACCAGTGGACCTTCCCATGTACCATGGCCAGGAGTTTGTACCACAGCAGTATATGGGCCCAGTCCCAAATGCGCTCCAGGTACAGGTGCCCCAACAGCCCATGTCCTGCCAACAAATGCCGGTACCCATACAGGCGCCGGTTCCTGTGCAGCCCTGCCAGCCGCGATCATTCTTCCCTCTGTGGGAAGTAGTCAAATACGTTCAACAGGTCCCCATTATGCAGCACTCTGCTGCCCTCCACCAGGTCCCTTTCCTGCCGTCGTTTCAAGGTTGCTATTAAGTCTCCGGCACGATGTGTCGATGACTCGGCTTCTGTGTTGATCCGGTAGTACTCTGGACCTCTTGGATGAAGTGGACGACCCGAGGCTTCTCGGCCCCCAAGACCTCTTGGAGGCCCTCATGAATCACTTCTAATGCCACGTTTGCCACCGACTTTCAGATCCCGGGAGGCTCATTCAAAGTCCCAGGATCCACGCGGAAAACAGCGCTCCAAAACTGGCTGGATTGCCAATAGAGCGGAAAAAGCGCCAAAATATTTCGATTCAACGACACTGTACCTATTGGCCACCACTATTCTCCGCTTCGCTGTCACTTTTTATTTTATTTCACACAACTTCGCGCAAATCTTTGGACTTTCTAGCGAGGAGTTTTGCTGTTGATGGGGGGGCCACTTGCGCTTTTGTCCGGGCTTCCCTTTGGACGGGCAGAACATGCATATACATGCATCTGCAGTTGGGCGCCTTTGGAAAAGAAGCGGGAGTTTTTTGCTTGCTGGAACGAGATGGACACGGCCGTGAGAGTTACGACACATCAACATATCTTAATCGCCAACTCGCGGAGCCTCGCCCACGACCTCGTGGGGTGGCCGAGTTGACCGAAGCGCTCACTTTACCGAGGCCAGGTTGGGATACCGGTCTTACATTTCTTTGGATATTTGTTGGTTCGGCGATGGGAAGGTACATTGCCGCCAAAATGGAAAGGGCACGGGAATGGGATTACGGTGTTCTTTGTTTCCGAGACAAAGGATAGAAAGAAGGGCTCCGATAGCCCCCGCACGACCTGGGTTGGTCGATGCGGCAGAACACGTTGGGAGTACCAATAGGGAGAACCGCTAGAGCATGTCTGCAGCGGCGTGAATAGCGCAATCATACGTTGATACCTCCCGATACATTTCTCGCAGTGCATGTGTGCATCTTTGCTAGTGACTTTGAGACGCACGCGTGTCCGGTCGACCGATACGTCTACGTCGCTGCAACGCGAATTACTGCGCCGCGGCAGATGTCATCTACCGAAGTCCCGTCCTCGCATGGGATCTAGAACATTGCCCACAAGACGGCCGCTCCGTAAGCTGGGGCGGACAGGAGCGGGACCTTTTTCCACGCCACGCCAAAGTCAAATCGGCGTGTGGCAGCGCATTACTACCAGTGGCCGCTACGTACTAACTTACAGAGCGGAGCTTAGACGCGGCACTACGTTGGCGCTCCCGCTCTTTGCGGGCTCGCGTGCTAAGGGCGAAAGGGGGACGAACGACGGACGGGACGTGCGCGTGCTTTGCCGGCAAGGAAACTCCTACGGCCCACGGATAAACTGCTGGTGCAAACAAGCCTCCCGGCAGGAGGTGTAGCGCCACCACCAGCCGGACGGCCGCGTGCTCTCGCGCGGTCGGGTCGGCGGTCGGCGACACTCGCTGCCGCTGATGGTACGGTACTGCACAGCAGCAGGTAGGAAAAGAGTACGAAAGCCGAGCGAGGGCCGGGGCGGAGGCGCAGAGGCGGCGGCGGCGGCAGGTGTGAGAAACCTGGCCTGATCTGAACCTGAACCTGACATGAGGAGGGGCCTTGGCTTGTGTGGCTAGGAGCTGTTGCGCGGGCGTGGCGGGCGCCGGGGGGGCCAGGGCCAGCGAGGGAGCTCTCTTGGCCTACGTACCTAGGTCATGGATGGTGCCATGATGGCGGCGTGCCACTCCGCGCGCCCGCCCAGACGAACCGGTCGTGGTGAGAGCGGTGCTGGATGAGATGGTGGTGGTGGTGATGGTGGTGGCGACGCCCGCGCCCGCGCCCCCGGGTGGAGGAGGGAGGGAGGTATCGGGGGGGCAGATTGGCGAGACCCGGAGAGGAGGAGGGCAGAAGTGGGCTACGTGCTGACTACTCCTCTTGGCATCCTGTCCTCTCGTCTGCCTCTCCCCGTGGGTACAGTAGTACTTGGTTGACTGGGACGTTTACGGTTTCGCCGTGGCGCGTGGCGGCCGAGGGTGGGCATGGCAGGTGGGCGATGGCTGCGGCCGTGTGATGCGGCAGATGGCGCTCGACTTTCCTGGGCGGCGGGCGATGGCGGCGGCGGCGGCGGCGCGACAGCCAGCGCAGCGCATTCAGACGGCCCAGCACGGCAACAACGAGACTGACAAACCGTGAGGCCGGCTGGCGGGTTGGCCCCCCGTGGCGTTGATTCGACGGAAAGCGCAAGCCACTCGCACGCGCATCTCGCCCATCTGGGTGGTCCTGGCCCCCCGCCCTCTCAAGACTGCCGAGGAGAAGGGGAAGCTTGGGGGGAGGAGGATGCGAGGAGGAGGGCCCAGCTCTTCGCGCCCTGGGGCTGGCTGGCTGGCAAGCTGGGTAGCCGGCGATGCGTAAGTAGTGGTAGCGCTGCAACCACCTTCCCGCGGTGGCGGAGGGGGAGGAGGGGCACCCGAATGGAATCTTGGGATGGGAGGACTACCGAAGAGACGGAGCTGCTGCACCGGAGCACCAGATGAGAAGTTGGGGAGCAGTCGAGGAGCAGAGAGGTCACCACGGACGGTGGGGGCAGTCTGTGTGTGCGACGTGATTGTGCGACTGGTGGTGACGACGACACCGCCGCTGCTACTGCTGCGATTACCGCTGCAACTGCTACGTCCGTACATAATGTGTACCTTGTATGGTGTTGCCGTCGACGGGGGATGATGTGTGGCTGCTCACTCAAGCACTCACACCCTCGGCGCGGAACAATAATAAGTGCACTACACTACATGACGATGAAGAGTAGAGTTTACTCCTGCGGCGGGAAGTTTAAAAAACATGCTCGAAAAGGGGCACTTTGAGAGACACGACGACGACGACGGCTCGATGCTGCTGTTGCTACTGCTGCTGCTGTCTAGTGCCGTGGCCGCCCACATGCAAGACGACGCTGCGCCGCCGCCGCGGCCGTGGTGCGAAAGCGATTCCCGATACTACTCACCTCTCTCAAGTGCCGAGATTCCATGTGGGCGCTGGTACTGTAGAGTAAGTAAGCTGCGTTTCCGCTGCGCCGTGGAGCGTGGCGCCAGGCCGGGCCTGGGTCTTTGCCGTTTCGGACGGCGCGGGAGCTTCACGGTTTGGATGGCGGTGGTGATGACGAGTACATGGAGGATGGGAAGGGTGAGGAGGACGGCCGTGCCGTACTGTGGCAGGCTTGGCGATGCTGATGCCGCTGCTACTACTGATGCCCCGACCGGTGTCATTGGGTGGAGCTCTGTGTGCAGGACCCAGGTCAAAGTACTCCAGACGGGAGGAACGTGAGAAGCCGCGGGAGGACGGGGAGGTTGCCCAGCAAGACCGCATGCAGTGCAGTATCGTAGAGCGACTGACCGAGAGTGACAAGAGACCGTCCACCTCTCCGGCGGCGATGGCGGGGTTGCCATTCGGGAGGCGTTTCCGCCCTCGTAGATTGGCCCGAGAGCCAGCCAGTCAGCCAGTCAGACGAGTGTGCAAAGAAGGACTCAAGATTCGAAAAGAGGCAGTGATTGTTGGTTGGGCGCGGCGCCGCGCGCGGGCACACACACCCAGCACGGACCAACAGCAACAGCGGGCATGGCTTAAAGTGCGTGCGTTAGTCTCCCTCTGGCGTGCTGCAGTCCCTCCTGCATTGCATTGCATTGCAGCATGAGGGAGGGATGGATGATGCAGGAGCGGAGACTGCTTCGTGCGGATGGGCGGAAACTGGCCAAACGGACGGGCGGGCGGGCAGCGCCGGTGGTCGATGATTGGGGCGATGACGATGTGCAGCTTGGGGCGGAGGGGGATGAGACTGTCTCTTATACACATCTAGATGTGTATAAGAGACAGGCATTGCATTGCAGCATGAGGGAGGGATGGATGATGCAGGAGCGGAGACTGCTTCGTGCGGATGGGCGGAAACTGGCCAAACGGACGGGCGGGCGGGCAGCGCCGGTGGTCGATGATTGGGGCGATGACGATGTGCAGCTTGGGGCGGAGGGGGATGAGAAGGGCGAAGAGGGGGGGGCGCTTTGCTGATGCGGCAGACACACGGGTCCTGGGCTGGACCGTTGATGCAGGTGAGTGAATGCGAAGGCGAGGGGCGCCAACTCGGTTTGGGGTGCGAGTGAAGAGGAGGACTTGTTGGACGGAAGACGCCTAGGGTCTGGATGAGGAAGACGAGATGATGCTGGTCGTGATGGATGGGCGGGAGAGCCTGAGGAGGCGCATGCGGCGCGGTGTTAGTGACTGGAGTCTGCCTGGGACTTGTTTGCTTGACAGACATCGCTACTGTACTGTAGCCATCCTTGTAGGCTCTCACATTGCCCTCGGGTAAAGCATATGGGACACAGATCCTGCAGACGGTCCAAGTTGTTGGCCGCGAGTCGTCGCCATGCACAAATCGCGTGTTGTTGCAAGCCCCAGCTGCGTACATGCAGCGAACGACGACGACAGAAGTGCCTGGTCCCTGTGTCCACAGTCCTGTATGCGAGCCCTTGGACACCAGAGGTACAGAATGTACCGCGCTGGCCATGTGTCAGGTCCGGTTGCTCACTCACTTACATGCTTCGTACATGCAAAGTACGTACGTACATACATGGACGCATCTGAGCGGGCGCGCGCCTGAGAATCTGCCTGGCCTGGTTGCACACGACGCGCGGCATAGGCCCGTCAAGTCTTCAAAGTGCATACTAAGTTGAAAGATAGCTTGCGGCACTTTGTGTGACGGGTAGGCTAATTAATGCCTGCCTGCTGACAACAGCGGCGAGGAGCTTCTATCGTATGTAGCCGTGCAGACCGTACAGGAGCCGTTAGATGGTATCATGCACGCACGCACGCCGTGCGTTGCATCTACGCATGCACTTTCTCGGGAACAGGACGCGTGTCCATCGCATTGCATCCCATCGCAGCTGGAAGGGGGAGGGAGCAAGCACAGCACGGCTCGCATGCAACGCGGCTCGCAT